GGTGGAGGGGTGTTGCTCATGCTGATGATGACTTGTCGTTTCCCGACCAGAAAATGTTCTTATCCAAGTGGAGTGTTCAAAGGAAATAGGAGAAGCAAGTTTCTTTGAGCTTCGTGTGGGTCCCCAGGACTGAAATCTTTGGCTCTTGCCATGGTCAGTTCTTGGCATGCTCTTGTGCTCTGTGACTATCTGCCCTCGGCCCAGGCCTATGCCCAGCCACGAGGTCTCTCTTGAGACCAGGGGGATTTGGCTAAGCCAGGCTGGAGTGCTGAGTCTGGGAGGCTGCCCTTGAGCCCTTCCTGCTGAGCCACCTTCCCAAGGCCATTCCTCACCAGCAAGTGCTGCCCCCTAAGGGGCTTGGTATTTGCTCCAGTTACATCCTGAAGGCCCATGGGCCATAGAAGTGGTTAACATGCTTAGCTGCTAACAAAAAAGTTGGAGGCTGCAGTCCACTCACGGGCACCTCGGAAGAAAGGCCTGGCAACCTACTTCAGAAAAAGCAGCCATTGGCAACCCAGGGGAGCTCAGTTCTATGACACACACAGGGTTGCCGTAAATCAGAATCAACTCAACAGCAATTGGGTTTTTTTTTGTTTGTTTTTGTTTTTTAATTTCCTGGAGAGCAAGAAATAGGAATTGCCTCCCCTGACCCCTACTCTGTATTTCCCCAGCCCGTGCCCACCCCCCCTCGCCCATCTCTCTCTCCTGGAAGAGGTAGAGCCTGAACACTCATCACTTGCCCTTGGTTGCCCCCTTTTCCCAGTCTCCCTCCCAGACAGAGGAAGACTTTCTACTTATTTCTCTGGTCCTGTGGGGACTTCTCTGATGCCATATCTTGAACGTTCTTTGGACTTTGGCTCCTGAGAAAAGTCTAGTCTTGGACTTGTTAAAAGGGAGATGGATGGAGAGGGTTGGGGTTAAGTCGCTCTCTCCATGAGATACAGTGGCCACACGTATTGCTACTTGCACACCTTGTCACATCCTTCAAGTCATAGCCGGGCCCCCTTCTGCATTTTCAACCATAGAGTCTCTGATGTGGTCACCTGACCTTGTGCCTCCCTGAACGCAGTTCCCTTGGCTCTGGGGCCTCTCTATTGAGCCTAGTTGCCTGACAGATACAGGCGCACACTAGCCGCATTGTGGTCCTGCTCTGGATGACCACAATCAAGTGAGTCACACTGCCTTTCCCTGTTTCCTCGTTCTTATAAAAGTTATGTTTACACGATACTGTAGTCTATTAACTGCAGTAACGTTATGAAAAAGTTGGGACACTGTGAGAAAGACCAAATTGGGACCCAGTGAAAGCTGCCTTTAGGAAAATAGTGTCCCAATAGACTTGCTCAAAGCGGGGTTGTCACAAACTTGCAAAAAATGCAGTATTTACAAAGTGCAATAGATCGAAGTGCAGTCAATGAGGTAGGCCTGTGCTGTGGACTTAAGCAAACTTAGTTGCTTGCTGTTTCTGTGCACATCTGCACATTCTCACCACTCTTCTTTGCCTAGCCAAGACCCTTTGCCTAAAGTGTCCCCCACCCCTTGCTACTTGAGCTCCAGCCAAATGACCATTTAACCCGCCTCGTTTATCTCAGGCCGAAAGGACTGCTCTCTCCTCACAATGGCCAACACCAGCACATCCGCGCTGGGGTGCAGGGTTTTTCTCCACAGTTTGCGTCTTCATAACTAGCCTTTTGCTTTTCTGCAGACATCATCATGAGGCCCAGTTGTGCTACTGGATGGTTTTACCACGGGTCCCATTGCTATGGATACTTCCGGAAACTGCGCAGTTGGTCGGCTGCTGAGGTAAGCTATCTGACCCGTGCAGGACCCGGCTAGACTCGGGAAAGAGAGCCCCTTGGGGCGCTGGGAGGACCAGTGGCCTAGCTGGTGAAGTGGAGAGAAGGAAGGGATGGGCTCAGTTCATTCGCAGTCGTCAGCACTGATGAAGCCAGGGTGTCTGTCATGTTGCAATCACAGAAGTACCACAAGTAGACGGCTTACCCAACAAACAATGATTTTCTCACGGTGCAGGAGGCTCGAAGTCCAAAGTCAGCATGACGGCTCTGGAGGGAATCCTTGTCCCTTTTCAGCTCTGTTCCCTGGTTCCTCTGATCTCACCTGGAGAGGTATCTGCCTTTCCCACTGTGCCTGCTTGCTTGTGTGCTTCATCTGCTCTTTGTATTCTCAATCTCTCTTTTCAATATCTTTTTGGGATATAAAAGAGCAGACAACGTGAGCAAGAGAAGTAGCAGAGACGGGAAGGTAGGTGCCGTGCCGCATGGAGATGACCAAGGAGGCTGGGGCTGGAAGCCAAAGAGCCAAAGACCTTCTCCAGGAGCTGACAGAACCAGAAAGACTCCCTCTTGGGCTGGGAGCCTGAATTTAAACACAGCTTTTCCTAAACTGTGGGGAAATGAATCTGCTTGCTAAAGCCCCCGCTTGTGGTGCTTCTGTTAGAGCAGCATTCAGTTGCCAATACCTGTCACATTCGAAAGTTCCATGCTGACAGGAAGTCTTTTGTGGGACTGAGCCCACCATCTCTGGGGGCAGGAGAGGCCAGGGGCGTCCACTGGCTCAGCACAAACGGTTCCCAGGAGAGGGCTGTACTGTTCAATCACCCAGCATCACCAATAGAGTCTCTCCTTGCCTGCAGTTTGAGTGTCAGTCGCACGGAAATGGAGCGCACCTGGCGTCTATCCTGAATGTGAAGGAAGCCGAAGCCATAGCAGAGTACATAAGTGGCTATCAAAGAAGCCAGCCAGTGTGGATTGGCCTGCATGACCCGCAGAAGGTAACCCTGCAGACTTTGCCCACACATGACCTCCAGGCAAAATGGAGACCATTTGAGTCAAGGTCAAGTTGATGGCTCTTGATCTGTATGGTTAGATTTGGTGATGTGTGTGCATAAATGTGTGCATGTGTGTGTGTGTGTGTGTGTGTGTGTGTGTGTATGTGTACACAAAGCAAGATCTTCCTGCGTCCTACTACCTGGACGATACACACAGCTTGGTGCTCACTTACTAGCCGAATCCACCCAGAAATGCCTCGAAAGAAAACCTTGACAAGCTGCTTCCCAGAGGTCACACAGCCTTGAAAGCCCCACGGAGCAGTCCTCGTCTGTACACACCGGTCACCATGGTCAGAAGCAATTCTGTGGTGACTCACAGCACCATAAGCAGACTTGCTATGCCCCCCAGCTTCACTGAATCCCACCTAGCTCTGGAGTGAAAGTGGTGAGCTTTTAGCTAGCCTTCTCCTTGGATGGTCTTCGCTTCCTAGAACTGCAGTGGCCGGGCGGGCTCTCTTTCTGGTCCATCTAGGGGAAAGCCCTTCCTTGCCGCTCGCAGCTTCTGGGAGTCCCAAGAGTCCCTTGGCTTACAGATGGAATCTCTCCCACGGCGTCCTCTCACAGGGCCTCTGCTTCCCTGTGTACGACACCATGGAGAAGGCATAGGGAGCCACCCAGCTCTGATAGCACAAGAGAAATTCTATTTCCGAACAAAGTCACACTCACAAGTAGCAGGGTTGAGGATTTGGGCATGTCGTTGGGATGGGGGAGAGGGTGGGCAATGATTCCGTCCGATTGTTGAGACGATCCTTAAATCTTTTTCACTGAACCCTGATTGCTACACTACAATAACAACTCCATGTAAAAATTACAAGTGGAGCCTTAGGCTGGGGACTGAGGGCCATGGGGTAGGGGTGCCTGGGGGTTCAAAAAGTTCATGGAGAAATTCCATATCTTCTCATTCCATTTTTTTTTCATGAACCATTTGAAGCCCCTTCATATATGAGACCTACCGTTCATTGAGTATTTATGGGACTTGCAGAATTAACCCAAATTCACACTGAAACATGGTGAGAGAACCCCCAGACTTTGTTTCTAGATAAAATTGCCGATGATACTGCACAGCCATATACTCTCTTCCATGAGTGTCTGCATTTATCCTTCCATAATTATCCAAAAAGATCTTTGCGCTCTTATTCTTGTTGGACTATTGTGTTTTAGAAAAACTAGCACTCCCTCGTCATAGCCGTTAAAATATCTTAGACATATTTTGAGTTGTAATTGTATTTTTTTGACTAGCAGAAGTTTTATACTTTTATGTATTTGCATTTATCAGAGGCAGGATAAATATTTACTTATAGTTCTCCCAGATATTTTTTTATAACTTAATTCTTGTTTACATGCGCGACAGGGGAAAGTAAGTGGTTAGAAATCATACAATGTCTTTAGTAGTCAATTGAAAATTAACTAGCGATATAATTTGATCAGAATGCTGACCTGTGTGTTGTTCTAATGAATTACATTTGTCAGCAGATGTAAAATCTCTTCTCACACCCAC